ATATATATACATGTACTGTACTACATTGTGTATCACACCTACTCTCCCTAACCCCCAAACCCCTAAAATTCTAAACCCTGCACCATTACATCCAAAACAGGTGCGTACCTGAGCCTGGGCGACAAGGGCAATGCCTTGAACTGGCACAAGTCCTGTTTCAACTGCAACAGGTGCAGTACTAGCCTAGGCGACGCAACCAACTTTCAGGTGCAGGACGCCAAGCCTATCTGTGGCCCCTGCTACGCCAAGTAGAGGGGATGGGTCGTTAGGGCTGTGACGGTCATGGGCAAGGGAGGACGCTAGAGTAGTATATTGGCTTATCTATTGATAGGTATACGGGTATAGTATAGTATACGTCGTATGGTATAAGTATACGTCGATTCAAATTATGATATACGTATACGTCTATTTATTTATAGGTACATGTATACGTCTATGTATAGGTATGGTAAAAGTATACGTCTATTTATTTATAGGTACAAGTATACTACGGCCCGTGAGACGGTGTGCGTATATGAAGTCCCCGTCTCCTGTACATCAACTAGACAGTTCAGAACAACTCGTTAACGGTTTAGTGTAGACGCCAGTGAACCAGCTCGAGCTCTCTACCGTTGTAGGTAATGGATTGTCCGACGAGAAATTTACGCAAAACGTTTTTGGTAAATAAAGCGATCATATTTTTTCATTTTCCTACTGTCCTGTTCAATACTAAATACTTATACTATACCTGTTCAATATACTCAATACTATACTTATACTATACCTGTTCAATATACTCAATACTATACTTATACTATACTTATTACAATACCTGTTCAACACTATACTCAAAAATATACTTATACTATACTTATTGCTATACCTGTCGAATACCTTTACTATCACAGTATACATAATCGTTCCGAAACACAACAAACACAAACAATAACACAGTATACATAATCGTTCCGAAACAACCCATTATTATTTATTTCATAGACTAATACTCGTTACTTGTACAGTGGTCTGTAGGCTAGTACATATCGCGAATGAGAAATCTCATACCTAATACTTATGAGACGCCTACGAGCCATCTGCATAATATTACTTACCACAGTCTGTGCACTAATACTATCAGTACTAACGGGATGTCTGACACCTCGTCGGTGCTTCAGGTATCTCAGAAGTACTAGGTAGGGTTTAGGGTTTTAGGGGTTGGGTATCTTCAAAGCAACAGGACACGACGGTGGTACAGCGAGACTATAACAACTCATTTTAACTAAATTAGTCACTTTATTTATTTATAGTCTACACAGTATTAAGGCTAGAATCGGTCCATACATCATTAACCACTCACTCAATCCACTCAATGAACCCAGTCACTTTACCTCACTTATCTAAATTATAGTCTACTTGGTATCAAGAGGCTAAAATCAGTATATAGATCATCAACCACTCACTCAATCCAGTCACTTAAGCCAGTCACCTAATCCAGTCACTTAATCCAGTCACTTAATCCAGTCACTTAATCCACCCACTTAATCCAGTCACTTAATCCAGTCACTTAATACCGTCACTTAATCCAGTCACTTAATACCGTCACTTAATCCAGTTCACTTTATCTAGCTTACACGGTAGCAAACTACCACATACTTAACTATTCATCCCCGTTCCTATTCCAGTTCTCCCTTCCTAAACGCCTACGCCACTCATCCTAATCCTATTGCAGATGAGGTGCTAAGGCATTTCTAAGTTGGCCATAGGCCCTATCCAGATCATCGTTTACAATCTTAAACGTATACTCATTCTCTGCCAGGCCGTCACCGTAGACCACTTCTCCGCGTGCGGTGTTTAATCGCATCTGGATGGCTTCCTCGGTGTCTGTCTTTCTCTGTGGGTGGGCGGGTTGTTAGCGGGTTAGTGTGCAGGCAAAAATAGTCAAAGATGAAATTCTAGTACCTAACTA